TGCCAAAAGTTCCCTTTCACCTAAATCTTACACACTGGACTTTTAAATCAAAATAATGCAATATAACTTTCCAATAGAGCTCTTTAATGAAAAACATAACAGTTTTTTTTACAATAATCATGTACAACAATTATTTATGCTTCACATAAACACTCATACAACAGGCAACTCAGATGACACATATCATATTTTGCTATGTTCATGGCAAAAAGACCAGTATTTCATCATATAAGACCAGTATTTACTACTAAAACACAGTTTTGTTACTTATTTTAAGATATATTGCATTTTCAGTGCTTTTGTGACTGTGCAGTTACTGTAAGTAGCAGTCTGACAGGTTTGCGTGTATCCAAAGCCCATTTGATGTCTCCTAATGCTGGTAAAAAAGTGATGTGAGAAATCCTACAAATGAATTAATAATCTAAGACAGCTTCCTGTCCTCATCTCCAATCAACAAATGAACACAGTACGGAATAAGAGCCACCACACCAAGAGGTACTGAAGCACTCTTACAGAACGACAGTACATAAAACAAAACCTCTGTGTGAGTGGGTATTTTGATGAAGTCGTACAGCTGCAGACACGTGAGAGTTGCAGTCACACACATAAGTTTGAATCTGGTTTTGCTGCCGTTCTTCCCCTTGCAGCTCTGGATGAACATCTCCGAGTTGACCGCCAGGCCCAGGCCAAACAAGGCTCCGAGGTTTCTCAAAAGACCAGCAAAAGGGGTGGTGTCCAGATGGATCCACTCTGGGTTAGCACACCACTTCTTTGCTTTGGTGACTGACCACAGAAGATCAATGCCCATCACTTTCAGGAGCAGATAAAAGCAAACAGCAAAGGAGAAAAGAAAAACGTTGGTCTGGGTGTACACTTTCAAGCTGGCGCTGTAAACTGAGCCGATGCGATCAAACATGGCAGCAACCAGCATACCTGAATGATAAGAAATACAAATGTTAATTCTTACACAAACTACAGCTTCATACAACAGATTGTGTTTGTTTGTGAATACAAGCTGGAGCTCACCCAACAAAAGACCGAGGATAACCTGATGTGGGAAATGTGTCGCAATAAAAACCCTGGAGATACAAACGCTCGTCTGAATGATCCAGAAAGACATCCACAGGCCTGACCTCAGTAGATAAAACCTGAAAGGACACATTGAGACGTCACCCGTGATGAAGAAACTACTCACGTTATGGAATAGTTTCAATATATCTGCCCACCTCTGAAAACTCTGGGCAGATGAGGCACTGGAGGAAGGCCTGGTGAAGTTGAGAACAGAGGTTGTCATCACATACCACACACAGGAAGAACCCATGGCATGACCCGACGGACTACCTGCACAAACACATCAGTGTTAGCATTGCTTTCAATGGGATTATTTTCCTTTATATTGCAGACATGGTGCTGACCTGGCCCTGTTTCACACGTGATTTGAAATTGCTCCAAATGTGGGGCTGAATTGTTGTGGTAAAATGTAGTTTCTTGGACCCACCAGTAAGGCCGCTGACCAAACAGAATCCTAAAAAGACAAGCAGAAGATTATAAATTGCATACATATAAAATGCACTGAAAGTTAAAATATGAATCTGTCCTGAAGGTCGGCTTACCATTTGAAAATTAGATTGAACCAGTCTCCTATAACAGCAGCCCATATCATCTTGGTGCCCACATTATGACTGAGATGGAACCACAGGGGGAAGTAAACAGAGAAAATGTTGCGAGGGTCTCCCACAGTTGACATGAAGTTGAGAAAGCTGTGATATTCCCTGAAGTTGTTCTGCAGGTGCTGTATAACCAGCACACCGCTGCCGTGGACTAAATCCATCTGAAGCTGCCTCTCTGTGTGCACGACTGCAAACAGCTGCTTCCTCAGCACCAGTCAAAGCACCATGAACCCACATCGCACCTCTGATGCCTTTATATATCCGGGACACCATCATAAATCATTGGACGGGACCATGGCAACACCTTCCAGCTCTCCAGAAATAAAGTAATGTGTCCCCTGGTCGCGAGGGCTCAGCATTTTAAGACATGTTACAAAAACTGTTTACACCCAGAAGGGCCATTAGATGTTTCACAGGCCATTGCTTTTACAATTGTTAAATATTAGCCATTGTACACACTGAAAGAGACAGAACCCTGTGTGACCCTGTGAATCCTTTCAGCCTCATTAATATTCTCATTCTCTGTGAACGTAGCAACAAAATGGGTTTCCTATAAAACTGTAACTGGAAAACACAGTCCATCTGGCATCCACAGCTGGGAACACTGACTGGATCCATCACCATTAGTTTTTTTTTTTTATATATTAAAACTGCAGCTATCTTCGTTAAAACATCAACATACACATCATATCAATTGTTATTTGTTGCTCTACAATAACAAAGTATTTTTTACTTCATGCTGATGAGGAATGTGGTGCAGACTTGTTTCAAACCTACCTGAACTTCATAAAATTCACCACAAGGTGGTGTGACGTCACAGCAAAGACGTGTTCCTGGTTTAAACTGAAAACATTCATATTTCATATTTAGGAAAAACATTGAAAAACATGGCGCTTCTGAATGGTTTTTGGTGGACTTTTAAATGGAAGAAAATTTATATAACGTGGTTATTGCCTCATTAGTACTTTTTGACTAATGAGGGTCAAAGAGATATCCTTTAAAAAGATTCACCTAACTTCTCATTACTGTGGGGGGAAAAAAGTGTTTGGACACATAGTGAGTAACAGGAGACACCATCAAGACTATTTGATTAATTTGATCTTTTTTTTAACTAAATTTCATATCCATGAATCTAAATTCCAACATAGAAAATCAACATTTTCAGATCTCACCATTTATAGCAAGCAATACATTTCCCCCATCTCCAATTGTACAAATAAAAAAAGCTATTAAGACCTCTAAGTATTGTAAGCTTTACAAGAAAGGTATCGTAACACCTTTTAATTTGACCTTAGAGTGGTTTGACTTTTTTAACCCTAATGATACTTGTCTGTTTCTGAATGATTTAACAAAGTTAAATAAAAAAAGTAATAACAACACGTCATTTCCGACGCTCAGTCCCTGCCCTCGTACACAAGCCAACAAACAACGAAGAAGAACAGGCCCCGCCTCTTTATACTAACCGCCCATATTTGAAAATAACGTCTGTTTCAGCAACGAGCCGTAAAGTGAGTAGAGCTGAAGTGTGAGTAAATCCTTCATGATACGTCTTTATCACGTCTCTGACTTTGCTCCCGCCTGTGACCGAGGTATCGGTCTTTTTCCAGCGTTTCTCTGTAAAAGCACCAGTCGCTGTGTTTTTGCTGCGGAAGTAGCGTAAACTGTGGGGAATCTTCGGCTAACTGCTAATGTTGCCCAGCTAACGCTAACCTGCTAACGTCGCTGAGTCGAGCAGTCACACTGTAAACGCAGTATGTTAAAGTCGAGTGGGGAGTTAGCAGACGATGCTAACAACAGTGAACTAGTCGCTCTGTTCTACTTCCACTTAATAGAACCTGCCTCATTAGATGTCGCTTTCAGGGTAAACAACGACACATGTTGTATATCGGATATTGTTGATGCCGCGCGGGAATTTAACTTGGTTGTCATAAAATATCTTCTCGATCTTTCACAACATGGGTGTTGCAGACAGCACATTCAGTGTTCACTAGGGTGAACCTGCTGCTACATCCATCCCAGTTGATTTTGATTCATCAAGGGACTCAACGTTCACTGTTATTGTCATCTCTCGATTTTACTGTTTGACACAAAACAAGGAAATGGTGAAATATCGTGATTTCCAACATTGTAAGACTGAGGACATGCAGCATATTTGAGAACAATAAAAAGAGTAAATGACAGTTTGGTTAAATAAAAGGGTTGAAATGATTATTAACTTGTTGACTTCTTGACTTTGAAGTTAGCTATCACATGTAACCGTCTTACTATTTTAAGTGAACTTTTAATTCACTCTGGTATCCTGTCTATGCTGTTGTATAACCTTACTGTTTCACATATTTATCTATGGAAGCAGATAAGAGTGTTGATCTATGTCACATCTATCGTTTAACATTATGGCAGGTGCCTGGTTCCTTCATCTTAACATTACCATTTTCAGTGAGTTGGTTGCATATCATCACCATTAGGAAATTGCAGTTCTGTTTATTTTTCTACTTTAAAAACAGAACATCATGACGTCCATCACTGATCCAAACTCCAGTGTCAGGTTCACCAGTGCAATGGAGGAGAGCCACAACAAACTGCTTAAAGAATATGGGGAGATAATGGACACATCTACAGAGTTGTGTCAGTCCCACAGACAGTTTGTGAAGTCGGCACTTGGTATGTACTTATTTCACACTTTGTATTTGAACTTGGTTAAATCTTTCAAAATGTAAAGCGACCACTAGAGCTTTTGTCTTGTTACCCTACCTATCACCACCTGAACTTCTTTAATTAAATATATTTACAGTAATGCAAGCTATGAAAACATACAATGACAGGGGAATTTTTCAAACTTTTAGCAGGAGTTATTGACAGTTACTAAGAGGAATGCAGACAGACCCAGTTCAGACCTCGTATTAAAGTCAGATCAGTGGACAGCTCAGTGTTCAGGTTACCCACCTAAGATCACTCAGGCCATATATGGAGGTGGTCTGGGACATACGGTATGTGGCCACATTCATTTAGCAGTGTATTTTTTCATTTACAGTGTTTTCCCATGCACTGAACAATTTGTGGCCACTGCCACAATATTAGCACAGCCTATCATATCAATTGTTTTTGAAAGGGCAACATTTTATGTCCGAATACAGTATATGTAAAAAAAAATATTTTCTTAATATATGCAGTATGTAGTTTTTCATTTTACTCTTACTCTTACTCAATTTTGCTCAGTTGCTTGGTTATTTATTGCTTTTTTTCCTTGTAGATACTTGTTTAAAGAAATGCAAGGATGATGAGATGCTGTTTGAGACGATACAGACATTCAAAAGGGGTGAGCTGCTGCATTAGACCATAGAGCGTTGATCTATGCTTTACACAGTTGTTATTCTTTATTTATGTTTAGAAGATTGATTGATTTGTGTATATCAGCATCACCATATGTGTAATTGGTCATCACATGTTTGTTTTTTTTACACAAACTTTAGGCCCATTTTTGTGTTTTGGGAAGAAATATTGTAAAACAGCTTCAAAACCTCTGTTTCTGTGAAAATACTGATGCAATTTTTGTCCCCCAGATGTTGAACAGAAGACTGTATCATTGAAGCAGAAACAACATGATATTTCTGAAGTCATATCTGAAATCCAGCAGAAGGAGATGCAGAAAGAGGAAATCATTCAGAAAATAGAGAAACTTAAACGGGAACAAACCAAGAGAAAAGAGTGTAAGAAAATTAAATTAATGGAAAAGATCAGAGAACTAAATTTGTAGCTGTTTCATTCAACCCTGAACTTGTTCTTGTTTTCTTTCTCTTTCAGTTATAGAGTCTCAAAATAAAGCAAACAAAGACAGACTGAAAAATCTCCAGAAAGCGAGATTAGTCTTTCAGGATCATTTGGGGATGGAGATACGAACAATTCTTGGCAAAACACAATTGGTAAAAGGTACATTGAACACAAACTTGTACATTTCCATATTCAGCATCTTTATATTTTTTAATAGAGTGTATTTTTTGTACAACTCATATGGTTTTCTAACTGCATATCTCTTCTTCTGACCTGAAGCTTGTGGGCTCTCAGTCTTCTTTTGTTACTTGTATTACCTCTATAGAATGACGTAGTCGTTGGTGTGGAAATAACTACATTGTCATAGTTAGTCATATGATGTGCACCCATTGATGACCTGACAACTGTTAAAAAATATGTGATTCTTTAAGAATTACATTAACAATACTGTGCAGAGGTTGTTGCACATTGCATCAGTAGTAGAACACCATTAAGGACTACTGTGCTGTAGAATTGTTTTGTACACGGTCAGAAAAATTATATCTTGTCTTAAGTTAACACTAGCTGGTTTTTAAGTACATGTAAATATGACTTCAAGATTTACAAAATGTGTGTTTTTGTCATTTGTGAAGGTGAAAAGTTGCAGTTTGTTTTCCGGAATATCAACCCCTCAAACCAAGACAGCGCCTACATTGTCACAATGGGGATTAAAGAAGATGGAGCTTACCAGAGTAAGTTAACAAACAGACACACGCTTTATGCAGTCGTAAGACATTTTTCTTCTTGTTTGTATTTTTGTTAGTGAAAAAAAAAAAAGCAAGGCAAACAACTGATCCTTCCCAAAACATGTATCCAAAGCGGCAGTCTTCACTATTGTTTAATGCAAGCCAAACTGGCAGGGCACTCAATTTGAGTCAGTGTGAGAGTCAACTGTGCATCTTCGGGTGAGTGATCTCTAATGTTACCTGAAAATGGAGCAGAGTTTGTTGCATATTAAACTCAAAGGGTTTGGTCCATGGCAGCAAACTGCTACAGTAGTTTCTGAGGCAGTTGAAACTGTAGTGTGCCCAAGGGGAGGACCAATAGTCCAACTGTCTATTAAGCCAACAAGCTGCTGCATCTCCTAACCCCTAAGCCCAGCACATGTGCGGCTTTGGCACAGGAAGCAGGGCAGGGTCAGAAAGTCAGTGTTTCTATCCTCAAGCCTGCATGTCAAGGTGACCGCATTTAGCCCCTGATGGTTATGAAAGCAGTGTGTCACTACATGAGTGATAGGGAAGTGCTGTATGAATAACTCATTGACTGACTTAGAAAGCACAAAATGCAAGAAAGTTACTGTATGAATGCAGTCAATTTAGCAAACTGTCTCATTGTTGTACTAGACTGACATTAGATGTCTATATGCGATGAAACCATCAGTAAAAATCTTGTTTTTTGGTCTGAACACTGTAGAGAGCAGTTCTTAACTTGAAATTTACCTTTGACATGCCACATCAATGATGTACTAGGATCTCACATCTATTTGTTTTTAAAGACAAACAACTGTCTCCATCTGGGACATAAACCATTACCAATCATAAATCAGGCACAAACTTTTCCTAACCCCGGGCCATCGGATATATCTGATCCTGTATATGTTTGTGACCAGGAACAAATTGGTGTTAGCGGATGAGTGCCACGGGAAGGAGTTTTTATAAACAGACCTTTATGCCAATAATACAAATTTCCCCATCCTCATTAAACATCACAGGTGGTTTCCCTAAGATTTACCAAACTCTTCAATTTCTACAGTTGTGTCTAGTGACCCAGCGCTCGAGTGTTTGCCGGCATTGGAACGTCAACTTCAGGAGACCAATAACTTACCAGCATTCCTGGCAAATGTCAGGAAGGAGTTTATCTCTCAGGCACGCTGCTGAGATCAGAACGATGGAGGGACACAAAAACATTCCTGCTACACTGTGGACTAATGTAAACAAGGAAGAACCATATGAGAAGAATAATCTTTTTGTAGAGCAGGAGAGTTTTTAATCTGTATCTACACCCCTGTAAACAACACATTATCTAATGTGTGTGTATATGGATCTACAGTTCATTTTGGGGGCATAAAAAAAAAAGCCCTCCTGAAAAATCTGGACTATATACAGTCTATATTTTTGAGCATTTTTATATTGCAGTTCACTAGACAAAGAGTTTTTCCTTGAAATTGGGTGGATATGGTCTTGTGTGTGTATCTACTCAAATCCAGAAGTTTTCTACAGGTATGTTCTTTAAAAGCAAAGATAAGTAAAGTAATTGAAAATTCACGTATTGATATAAACAGTTTTCATAAATGTTTTCATGTATTTACTTGTTTTTCATTATACTTTTATTTTCCTGTGTTCCATTATTAAAACACATTGAATTTTTTTACAATACTTCACTACGCTTGCATATAATGTGGCTTGAATAATGAAAAAATCTAACAACAATGCAAAATAACTACAAAGACCAGTGACAAAAATCATCTCGACTGTCGGCAAAGTGTGTCATCAAACTGAGTGATATTGGATTTATTAATGATTTTAAAACCATGAATATCATTAGTCGGTACATAGATGGAAACATGATTTGTTATAAGACTTCTCTTCCATGTCTTCGTCATGTATTGTAGAAGTGATTCCTCAATTCATGGTGACTTTGTAGTTTTTTATACTCAGGCATCAGATGATTTGACGCTGTTTAACACGGGCAGTTCCTCCACATAGGTTGATGGGAAATGTCCCGTCTTTCCCTTAAGTTTACCGAACCACCAACCATTGTCCTCTTTTGTGTAAATGTCTAGAAGATCTCCTGTGAAATACAAACAAATCCTTACATTAGTTTTTCCATATTCCTCTTCTGTCATTTTATATCATCTGCAGCTTGTAGCTCACCTTCTGTCAAGGTCAGTTCATCCACCTGTTCAGTTTGGAAGTTGTACAGAGCCTTGCATTTCCCTAGACAGCAGAACTCTGGTGTTGTTTGACCTTTAAATTGAAAATATTTTTCACGTTATTGTGAATGTATGTGATTAGAAATAAATCGTAGTGTATGAAAATGTCTTACCCTCTTGTTTGTCATCGCCTGTGTGAGCCGGGGCTCTGGTAACTGTGCTGTCACACTCTGCAGCTTCACCTCCATGTGTTGAAGACGTGGAGGTGACCGGGTCACTGGAGCCCGGTGACGGCTCCACAGACGGTTGTGTCACAAACTGGGCCGGCCCTTTGTAAATGATGGATGCTCTCAGTGACTGTCGGGATCTGAATGGTGTCCTCCTGAGTTTGACTTGACGCGTCAGCTGAACGACACTGTGCTCGCAGTCCTTTGAAAAAATAATAGTGGGTTGTGTTTTATTTGCAATTCTTTTAAAATGTTTAGGAGAAAAATACAATTTTATGTGGTTGATTTAAACTATATTTCTAACAAAATACCAGCTATTTATAGCACAGGACATAACTATAATTTGCAAAATCACTGCTAATGGAATTCAAGTGGATCACTAAAAGAACTGGATGAATGATTAAAGGTTAAAGATTCCATCTCCTGCAAGTCTAATTATTTAAATCAAAGCTGGAACTATTTACTAACTGAAAATAAGCAGTGACTATGACTATTTATCATTTAATGTCATTATTTAAGTCAAATGCTTAATTTCACAGGATTTGCTACTTTACTTTGTTGAGTGTGACAGATAGACAATGTGTACAATAAGTAATAAGCTATTTTAAGATGCCATCTAGAGTCTTTGTCATTTAGGATTATTTTATGGCCATTTTTCTCCATTTACTGATATTTTATAGACCAAGATATAAAGAGATATAAAATGAATCAAATCATTAGATTGTTTTGTAATGAAAATAATCATTAGTTGCATGACTGGTATGAACATTACCTACTAAAAAATAGTTACTGACAATCTTCGTCTCTCAAATCACAGGTAGTGTAGAATAAGGGGTACTGTCGTGGGGTTTAAATGATTCTAAAAAGATTGAGAACCACTGTGCTATAACATCTAGGACTTTAAATCACCAGTCACCCAGACAGTAATTGCTAGATTTGGCTATTCTCTAAAAAAAAAAAATAGCCAAACGAAGGCTGTCACACAGTGTCCCTTTTAATCCAGGGAACATCTGTCAGAATATGAACTGTCCAGTGGGTCTGCTTTAAATGCAGCCATTACGCTGAAGTAAAGCTTAATTGGTTCTTCCCTCTTAGTTTGGGGACATTACAACCACAAATACCACATATGAATGAAATATTAGTTATACCAGCAGTCCCTTCTAAAGTCTTTACCTTATCTTTCCATTTCACGATGCTGTCACTGAATCGGTGAAAGGACCTGGGTTTTCCCTCGAGTTCTGACAGTGACACAGAGAGTTTGTAGTGAGTGGCCTCAAGCAGATCCAGTTTAAGAGAACACTGTGGGCAGAGAGACAACATTAGCCTTTTGCACAAATCTAACTTTCAATCAATTTAAATACTCACCTCATCCAGCTGCTGCTCAGTCTCCTCAAGGTTCTTCTGGTTTGAGAACGAAGGATTCTCCGAGTACGTTTTCATCAGCTTTTCAATTCCTGCAGGAAGAATATCGAAGTTGTCTTAGAAACCATGCGAGTGACCTTATCAGCGTTGTCAGGTGTGAATCACAGGGTTACACTGAGAGATAATCTGTGAGCGAATCAACTAACCTTCACAGTCCTTCTTTGTCCTTGTAATGCCGTCCTCCAGACGCTGGACTTTGAGTTTGATGGCCTCTCTTCTTCGCTCTTTGCACATCAATGATTTGTTGTCCTCCTCCTGTTTTATCAGAACACAGATAACGTGTGTTTAATACATCAGATATTATGATGGTCTTGGTGGAGTATTGATTGGTGGAGTATTTGACAGAAATGCCATTTGCGAGTAACCTTTATTAAATTAAATGATTAGTTCCATAGAATCTACTATCATATTTACAAATTGCACCTAAGTACTTGAAATATACATGTTGGAAGACTCCACTATACAGACGTCAAAATGACAAGTTCATCTCTGTATGTGCAGTGTGCATGCTCCCATCAAAACACACCCCCTGGAGAGATATGTCTTTGAACAGCTGAATCACTGGGCGGAGGCCTGCAGACAAACCTCTCTTCAACATGCAGCAGCACATTCTGAGTGTAAAATTGCTAAACTTACGAAATAATCCGTCATCAAAAACTCTGCTGTGTTGTCTTCAGGTGTGGTTCTGTTTTCCTCCAACAGCATCTGTACGTCTTTATCCATGTCCAACTTTTGGACAAGCTGTTCTATCTGTCTTTGGCCCTGGAGGAGGCACACATGTATTTTTTTTAAGTTCAAATATCTCTAGTGGGATGCAGAGTGGGATTGTGAGCAGGGTGAACCTCAAGATGTCTCACGTGTTTGAGGGTCTGGCCGAAACCGGACATGTGGAGGTTGTATCTGTTCAAAATGTTGCACAGAACTTCGATTCGCTCTTTCTCCAGCTCCTGTATGATCTGAAATAAAAAGCAGAAAGAAATGCTGTGATGCTTCCTGTGCTGCAAGTTCAATCAATACCCAAAACACTGAGGAAAACCAGGTCAGAGTGACTGCAAAGATTGCAAAGTAGCTAAAAGATCAAGGATTACAGCTGCAGCATCACCCTGTGCTGCGTCTTTGTTTTTCGTGTGTGTATCTCAGAGAACAAAGGATGAAATCAGTTTCAGAATGAGCTGGTAATGTGGAGCTCCGAACAAAGCACTGGAGTGGTAGATTGACCCTTCTAAACCATATCTGCAGCCAAAAGCTCACTGGTTGAACTTTTCCTGAATGAGGTGTTCACAAACACGTCTGAACTTTCCGGTTCGCTCACAGAAAGACTCTGGATAAAGACAAACAGCTTCAAATCCAAGTGAGAACAATAGGAAATCATGTTCCACACCTGGTAGCAGTTTTTCAGTGTGTTTTCCCATTTGAGTCTCATCTGATGACCCTCCATGTTAATATGAAAGTACTCCTCATCCACCCGTGCCTGCACCTCTGCAGACTTAGTCATCCTGTTGAGCATCTGTCGTCAGAACAGGGAAGAACCTCTTTAGCGTGGCACATCAGTATTCTCTCAGAAAGCATAATTATTAAAATAGTTTGCTAACTAGTATACTGTACCTTTTGTTTTTCCTTTACTGTGCTAATGTGTTTGTTGTTCTCAACAAAGTTGAACAGAGCCTCATGTTCCCTCGTTAGTCCGACTAATTTCTTCTTGATCTGTTTTAGAAATGACACAAGCAATCACATAAATAAATCACAGAATAACAAATTCGTACAATTCATTATTCGTAAATAATTCAGCATCATGCAACAGATCAGATTTGACCCATTTTTCTCAATCAGCTAAAATGTCAGGTTATTTCCTGTGTTATGCTGCAATGTTTTCCATGCAGTTAAAGTAACTACGGTTGACAAAATGTGTTTTTAGAAATACTGGTTATGAAATATGAGAAACTGACAGATAGAGAGCCTTATATAGAGTAACAAGATTTAACATTTCGATAATATCTTTAAAAGCAATCTGTAATTTTTCAACATTTATCCTCTTAATTTAATTAAACATTCATGTAAGTGCATTTAAAAATGTCCCGAAAAGCTCTCATAATGTGTTATGTTTCATAGCAACAGCCAGAAGTAATTTTAACTATGGTCATAATGCATTACAAAGTCAAACATTACAGTGACTCATGATCCTACATGTTTTCTATAAAAGGTCACCTGAGCAGCGCAGTGTTTTCTGTCAACATGAGCAGAACGTTACAGCTGATTCGTTCTTTCCTGACAATACAACCATCTTTTATACGTCTTTAGAACTTGTCACACAAAATGAATAGTGTGATCATAAACTATTTAATCATTGACTGCTTAAAGAATTGCGATCCCACTTTTAATGGCTCATCACTGTTTTAACACAACATAATGCATTATGAATGCTTTGCAATGCATTATGCAGGAATACATTATACACACTGTAAGGGCTTCACTGTAAAGGTTACCATGACATAACAGACTGCAGCCACACAAACCTTTAATGGATTTATGGATTTGTGTGATAATAACTGTCCCTGTAGCGACAACTGGATGATTTACCTTGAGTTGCTCACTCCAGTTAACAGTAACAAGTTTTCCAGTTCTTTCAATGGCACTGTCAAGCTGTCGAAACCCAGGACAGGTTAGAGACAAATTATGACACGGAAGCTGAAGCAGAAATTCAAAAAATAAAGGATAAACCACCTACAGGCTTCTTCCTCTTATTATGCTCGTCTAAGACTTGTCGTATTTCCAGGATTGCCTCTTGCTGAAAAGCATTTCCTAAAGATCTGGAATGAGAACAACCATTTAACCCCAGATCCCCTTCACAGTGTTTATGACAGGCACAGTTATGAGGTGAGCTGAAAACTACCTGTGGGCGTCTGCTCTTGAGTACATCTCATCTGACACATGACACCAGGCGCTGTAGGTGGAACTGAGCAGGGAGGCAGCAGGAAAAAGGTTAGAGCTGTGGTCTAATTATCCTGACACCTACCTGTGTTTTTGCTCTTGTCTAACTCATTCAGAGCGTGTTGTTTTCCATAATAACACTATTTCCATGCACCACATGGCAGCTAGTCCTCGGGAGGAGGTCATATCAAACACAAAACAGACGAAAAGACAGAGCCAAGCACAGTTTCTGCTCTGTCCCTTACTTGTTTGACATTCCTTTGGAGGCCCGGATGAGTTTGCTGGCGAGTTTTTGCAGTCCTTTAGCATACGTAAGCTCCAGCTCAGCCCTTAGAGAGGGAGAAGTTGCAGAGATGGAAATGAACTGAGTCAAACAATAACCTGTGTAGCCATTAAAAGTTAGTCCGAAGGCCAAAGCTGCACTGAACCTACCTTTGCTGAAAAACTGCCATGAGTTCTTTGCAGAAATACTCTCCTGATTTAGAGAATCGCTTCACATTTTGATACAGTTGGTTATACTGGCAGACAGAGGAGAAGGCTCCATGAGATTTCACCATAGAATCAACTGAATTCAACCTGATACAAATT